GTCAACCCATTGTATATATTCAAATTTTTTTTAAAAAATACCTATTTACACAGTGTTATTTTTCGGCGACAAGGGTAGCTCCGCCCTTGCTGGAGAGTAGTTGGGATTAATACGATCTAATAGGTTATTAATAGTATAACGTATTCTTTTCGTTTACTTTTACTTATTCACTATACTAAAAATATATTTTCACTTTTACTTGTCCACTATACTAAATCAAGAGAAAGACAATCTTTTTTTTTCTATTTTACCCTTATCATTAACTACTCATTTTTCAATCTTTTTTAAAATACTGTTATTATCATGGGTAAAATGGTAAAATATTTATTTTTTCGTAAAGGGAGTGTAAAGTCAAAAGTGGACAACTAAAAGTGAAGGGAGGGAGTAGCTCATATTTGATTAAAAAAAAATTCTTTCACTTTTCGACAAAAATACCGAAAAATATTGTTTGGGTCTTTGTCCCCTGTTATATTTAACTAATAATTGTGTCATTAATAAAAACGATATAAAAGATTATAGTTTTTCCCACTGTAGATTTTCTTTAATATGATAAAGCTTTGATTAGTATTAGGATTCAAATTATCAGTCTCAGAAATTCGGCATACTACAGGTATTGAACAATGTTGACCTCTATTATTTCTCATAATATGCTAAATTAAAGAAAGGAACACATATCTAATGGTTGTGACTATTAGGTTTCTTCAAAACAAGTAGTCGCCAGTCTTTTCTAATATTAAATATGTTATTTAGGCAAATAATAAAAAAGGTATTTTAGTAATTCAGCTTTTAACTTATGGGCTTCCTGATTTTAATATAAAAGATAATATAGATATAGATTAATCACGCATATTTCAAGAGGAAACATTTAATCTAACTAACGAATTTACACCAAATCGCTTTATTTGACAGGAATAGTATGTGAATGGTTCGGGTCGCTCGGTTATTTTATAAAATTTGTATCACATTAATTTTTCGGTTATTCTATTATATATAACCAAAATTAGACTTTTTAAAACCGTCTCAATCATGTCGGTTTCTTTTCAGTATCGGTAATGTTTGATTAATTTCGGTATTGTTAAAAGCCGTGTAAACGTCACTAGTAGAAGTAAAATGTAATAACAGACGTACTTTTATAGGACCTAGCAAAACTCTTTAAATATTTTTATTGTTCAAAGGGTGATGAATTAAGAAAACATGAAAGATGACTAGAGTTAGATCTATCAACTATTCTACACTAGCGAAAAATAAACTAAGCAAAGACAAAAAAATATAAATCACATTAGTAAAAAAAATATTAACCAAAAATAAAGTCTATGGAAGATTAAATACTCAAAAAAAATCTAAATTATACGAAAGGAAATATGCTTAATACATTGTAGTTTGCTACTCAAAATCGCTAGAATACCTTGTGTCTTGCTAGTAAATATACTGAAAATAATTTAGTTTCAATAGGAGTAACATAATAGGTTTGGAACTTAGGATTTTGAGTTTTAATTACTTGTTTGCTTACAGTTGTTTTCATAATTCTAAGGCTCAAGGAAAAAATTAATGCTTTATTATTTTTAAACTTAATATATAAATATATTTTTCACATGTAAATTTATTCGGCACGATTCAGTATTTTGTCGATTTATTTTCATAAAATTAAAAATATACCTTAATTATCGATACGGTTATAGATTTATATAAAAATCTTTGATTTTATTAAAAGACACCTAAAAATCGATTTGATACAGTATGGTTCGATCGGCTTAATTGATTTTTAAATATTCATTGACATCCCTACTCATTATATAAGAATAAAATAGGTTAACACAAGTATAGTGTTCAGGCTGGGAAAAAAGTTCAAGTTCCTATGACGTATCAATAAAACGGTATACAAGCTTGGGATTAGATACTCATTATTGCTTAACTATTTTGTAGACGTGAGTGTCCAGAAGAACCCTCCATAATGTAATATCCTGGATCCACAAAAGTAAAATGTTTTATCAGTGAGATTTACTTTCTACGCATTTTTACTTGTCCACTTTATACTTTCACACCCTTTAAAAAATAATAATTATAGTATATATTTTACCATATAACCTTTAATAATAATAACATTTCAAAAAGTCTTGGAAAATAAAGTTGGAAATGAGTAATTAATGATAAGGGTAAAGTAAGAAAAAAAAAAAATCTTTCTCTTGATTTGTTAGAATGGACAAGTAAAAATGAAAATGTATTTTTAGTATAGCGGACAAGTAAAAGTGAACGGAGAAAGTATTCACGTGAGAATGAATCACATTTTCAACATAAAGAGATTCTAACATCACAATTTCCGGCAAAGTCAGAAATAATATGGATAAGAGTAAGAAAAATTCAACAATCGTGCAAAAGGTAGCTAATACAAAACTTTCATTCTTTTGCCCAAAGGTAGAGCATGACTGACCTTTTAGTAATGCAACAACTATATGACCAAAAATCTTAATATCCAATACTTGTTCCTATTTCATTATAATTTCTTTTTCTATTCATCTGTTATCCACTACTAACAATATGTGTACGTACATATATTCCTAGGTCAAACCACTACTTTGTCTAGTTCTATCCTTTAAAAGTTCCAGCAAGATTATGATAAAGTAATTTGCAAATGTGGTGTTGAGCTAAGCATACTCCTCAGTCCTCACGTTATAACGCAATTTAGGTAGTGGAATTACTGATGTGAAATTATTTCTTTGGTAAAGACCTGGAATATGATTGGATAAATTAAACGTAGCTTATCTGAGAATTCAATTTAGTACAACCATATAATTACACAAGAGAATACTATGTAACTAGTGGAGAATTCCTCATTTTTGAAGGTGACTCGCCCGTTTATGTATAATATTTATGTAGATTTCAACATGATAATCAGATACTTAAATTTGAGGTAAGTGTGAGATTCAGCCTCTTGCGTGCATGCTTTTTTAAAAACATGGGTTATGGGCGAGCATGTACTAGGTCATTGTATCTTTTCGATAGACTGTTATGCATCTTATGACACATTCGTCATACTTTTGAGATACCAAAGCATGCTTTATTATTTATTTTCAGTAACTAAGCATATCATACTTTCTTGTATTGATTGTGAGCACGATTATTATCTATCTCATTGATATACGCGTTGAATATTCATGACATGACTATTTTATATCAAAAAATATTATTTGACTTGCACTGGTGCTCAGTTGTGATAAGGGCATAATAGTATATTGTTGTTTGGTCTAGCTGTCCTATTTCACGAGAGCCTATGAGTTGGCCTAGTGGATCCTATATCCATGGGGACTTATAGTGTGCGCTAGTTGGTCTAATGTATATCTTATTTACGAGGACCTAGTGTACATTAGTTGGTCAAGTGGACACTATCCACAAGGGCTTATTGTGCATGAGTTGATCTAGCTGTCCGACTAGAGTGCGTGAGTTGTGGTGTGACTTGTATACCCGTTTATGATTCGTTGCACATGTTATGCTTGATTGAGATTACATATGTTATATTATATGCATAATGCATGATATTTAAAAGACTTGCTCCACAAGGGGCTAGTGTGCGACCACTCAGAGTCGGGGACTACAACAAGAAGGCCAGGGTATGACCACTCAGAGTCGGGGACTACATCCTCAAGGCCAAAACACAGGCAGCAAAAGATTCAAATGAAGGAAAATTGGAAACAAACTGGGACGGGCCATATAAAATCACCGCAGCAGCAAGCAAAGGAGCATTCCAATTAGAAACAATGGAAGGAAAACTACTACGAAACAACGGGAATGTCGCCCACCTCAAACATTTTCACTTCTGAGAAATGACGCCACCCAAGTCGTACTCTTTTTCCCCCACCCGGGTTTTATCCCAATCGGATTTTCTCGGAGAGGTTTTTAACGAGGCGACGAGGGGGACGTCTCGATATTCAAAGTATAATTCATCGCCCGGCCTACCGATAGCATCTCCAGGCCGAGCAATGAGGGGACTAGGTACAAGGAAATTACTCCGTTGAATGTAAAATCGACATGTATCTCCAACGAATGAATGAAATTACTATTTATGTTAGTATGGTATTTTCTTTTAAGTAAAGTATTTTAGTAAAAGTTTTATAAGCATAATTTTGGATAGTTGTCATTATTACTATTTTCGGATATGGTAAATTATACTCATAATATAAGAAAGTTTATGAGATTTTGTTTATTGTAAATATAGAAATTATTTTCTCACAAGAAAAGAAGGTTATAGTTTTACCATTTTAAGAATTAAGCGTACGAAAATTTTTACTCTTTATATGAGATTAGGATAATTTGAAGTTGAGAAAAATATATGCATTTTTTCTTTTTACATGGATGTTTTAAATAATAGTGTATGTATTTATTTTATATGATACCACATGACCATGATAGTAAGTTATATAAGGTGTGTTAAAAAAATAAGTAAAATTTTAAGTAATTTGAGATAATTCTTAATTATACGGGTAATTGGTTAATTATCGCGTAACGGGACATTAACTAATTAACTAATAAATTCGATAATGATTAAAATTCCCCCCCCCCCCCCCC